GTAGAGGGGGTTGCTTTCCCTTGCTATAAAAGTGGTAAATCGCTCAAGTCCAGAGTCCTTCTCCTGTAACAACTTACTGCATGTGTAAGTATCCATCCTGGGCCTTTGCATGGCCTTCATGGGACTTGGGGGCATGGAGAACTCACAAAACAAACAAGAGGCACTGGCTGCTGCCATTGCCCTGAGTAATAAAGTCCTTTGTCTCTGCCGAAGACTTATGCCTTTGCCAGTACCCATAGTAATAACTGTCATGTTAACACATAAAGTAAAATCTCAGACCCTGCATAGTTCCTGATTATTTCCTTTTCTTTTTTAAACACATTTTAATAGCTGCTCTGAGGTCTTTGTTAAATGTAATATCTGAGGACTCTCCAAGACATTTTTACTGACTGCCTTTTTTTACTCCCTGAGTATGGGCCACACTTTTTTTTGTTTGTTTTTTTTTTTTTTTTTGCATGTCTCTTAATTTTTTTGTTGGATATTGGATACTTTTATATAATATATCATAGCACCTGGGCAGTTGTTCTTTTTTGTTTGTGTAGTAGCTGGCCTGGGCTAAGTCTGTGACATCTTCCCCCACAATGTGCAACTACTGATGTTTCTGCTTAGCTTGCCTAGTTTTCTAGGGGTAACCCCTGTGTTTGTATACATTCGTGTGTAGCCAAATGTCAGTCAGAAATTGTGTTCAAGTAGCTCAAGACAGTATGCCTTCCATTCAGCTGATGGATCTGTGTGTGGTTTGGGGAATGCATTAAAAACTCAGGTCACTGTTTAGGCTTCCTAGGCTTTTGCTTTCTGCCAGGTTCTCTCACTCCCTCCAAACATATACATAGGTTCTACCGGCCAAGGATGTGTGGGTGGCTTGGGCCTGCTCCTGTCTCTGCTGCACAGACACATGGCTTTCAATTACCTGGATTATATGAAGAGCTTATTAAGCCTTCTTACCACTTTTTCACCTCACCAAACTCCCTATTAAATCTCCAATTAGTCTATCATCCATTGCCCCCCAACCACCACCACCCCCTGCAAATTACAACCCCAGGCTAGCAGAGCCAACCAGTCCTATTTACTTGCCACTTGAACTAATAATGCTCTATATCATATGAGTCCCCTCTGGCAGTATCAGCAAAGCCACTGGTTTCCAAGACCTGCCTTATTCTGGTTGAAGACAGGTCCTAGTTTTTGACAGTGTTTTGTCCAGTTTTATAGTTGCCAAAAAGGGAAGAGGGGGCCCAGCTGGTGTGGCTCAGTGGTTGAGCATTGACCTATAGGAGGTCACAGTTCCATTTTGGTCAGGGAACATGCCCAGGTTGGGTGCAGCCAATCGATGATTCTCTTTCATCATTGATGTTTCTATCTTATTCCTCCCTCTCTCTGAAATCAATTTAAAAAAAGGATTTGTTGACTTCCTCAAACCAATCTACATAATCGTGCCATTGAACCTGGTATAACTTAGCTGCCCATTTGATTCTCTGGGGTTACATAAGACTGTTTCCTTTACATGCTCAGCCAGACATGGAATATCAACAGTTGACCTAATCTGGGGATAAGTGGGTATTGAACATGAGCACTGCAGTAAACATGGATTTTTCCCCCCATGGCTAATTAGGAATCATTTATGGTGACCCAGTATTATTTATACTTTCCTGTATAACTGATAAATTATAACATCATTATAAAAATATTATTTGTATATACTTTGTACCAGCTAAAAAGATTAGAATATTGCTTTATGTAATGAGATTCTAGAAACAGTGGTCACCACTGCACTAACATCCTCCCTGAATTTTCTTCCATTTATTCAATAAATATACATTTATTATTTAAAATATACAGAGGCATGAAACAGATACAGATTTTATCTTCAAGGAACTTACAGGTTAGTGCAAGTGATACAATGTGAACATGAAAAAATATAAGTGGGAAATGCAGGATGCCATTAAAGAATTACACATGTGTGCTATACAAGTTCAGGAAGCTAATCCCTGAGTCATTTCTATTATCACCCATTATGTACTTCCAACACCTAGTCCTCCCTACTTACATTCCCTTCCTAGTTGCATTTATACCTAATATTCTAGTGTTTGTTGCCATTTAGATTTGTTGTGGTAGTGATGTGTGCTTCCATATGTACTTTTCTTACTTATAATCATCTCGTTCATATCAGCCTGGGATGTGGGTAGGGAGGCTAAGTGACTGGCCCAGTTTTATATTATTAGGGAGTGGCAGAGTCAACTTTTGAACATAAGGTCTTTGTACTCAAAATCTTAGTCTAATATGATCTATTGCAGCGGTTGCCAACCAGTGGTCCGCGGACCACTGATGGTCCGTGAGATCCGAAAGGTTGGCGACAGCTGATCTATTGCCTCTCATTACAAACTTCCTCTCTTCTTCAGCCAGCAGATAGTTGGGAAAATTTAGCTTGGTGAGTTGGGTCAGACTTGGAGGCAGCTTTGTGTGTTTCTGGACAGGCACAGAAACGAGGCAGCAAAGCAGGACTGTGTTCAAGCCACTCTTTGAGCCATTCTTAAGGGTTTAGTGACTTTAAATTTTACAAACAGCTGTAGGACATTTACACTATGGAATACTATGCAGCTGTAAAAAAGGGATCTCCTACCATTTGAGACAGCATGGATGGACCTGGAAAATATTATGCACTGAGGAAGACAAATATCATATAATCTCACTTATTTGTGGAATCTAATGAACAAAATGACTTGACCAACAAAATAAGACCCAAAGCAGGGGGGCATGGAACAGACTGACATACCTCGACATGGGGTTGGAGGGATGAGAAGAGATAAACGAAAGAACTTACATGCATAGCCCATGGACACAGGCAATAGGGCAGTGAAGACCTGGGGGGTGGGAGGAATGGGAGGTATCTGTAATACTATCAATAATAAAATATATTTTAAAATGAAAAAAATTAAAAACTAAAAATAAAAAGTTTACAAAAATCAGAGATTCGCATTTCCAATTTCTTTTTATACATTTCTCTTGTAGAGGTTGGATCATTCCTTTAGACACATGTTCAAAACCAAATTGACCATCTCTCCCTCAATTTGTTGTCTCTTTCTCTGTTAATGACACCTAAACACCCATTCTCCTACACTGGAAACCCAGGGGTCCTTTTTAACTAAAGGAGTTCATCTTGGTCCCCTCACCCCAGTCGTGCTCATGCTGGCTTTTTTTAAACTGTCACCCAACTTCTAATCCTGTCATTGCCATTTCGCCTGATAGGATTGTTTGTGGGAATAAACTAATAAAGTATATGAAAAAGAACTCTGACAGCTGTGAGTGAGAGGTATTTATGTCCTTTGAGGCAGCACATCTGTTGAAATAAAAGGGATAAGGATGAGGCCATTCAGACCTGACTTGTACCAGTGAAGTGTGGACTTGTATCTGAACTACGACCTCATAGTCTTACATGTTGATAGCACTCCACACTCTTAAAATTCCTCAGAAGGAGAGGAAAAGGAACCAGTGAGAGAAAATAATTGATTTACCATAGGTGACATAATTAGTAAGTGGCACAGCCAGGACTAGAACTCCTAATGGCTAAATCACAACCTCTTAAATTAAAAACCAGGATTGGTTTTAGCACTTTAGCACTTAGTCTGTGTGACCTATGATGAACAAGTGAGCTCGTTTAAATGTCAGTCTCTGCATATAAGGTAGAAGTATATATGATAGCACCTATTTCTAGAGTTGTTGTCAGAATTGGATGAGTCATATAAAGATCTAGAGTGCTGTGTAGAAAGTGTTCAGTAAATGATAGCCACTGGATTACTCTTCCCCCCTCTTCACCTACCTAGAGACTTTAGGTTGCTCTTCCTCTGCCTTTTCCCTTTGAGAATTTATTCTCTCTGGCATATTTATTTAGACTGCCTCACTTTAGAATTTCTTGAAGTTCACAGACATTTCCAAGGGGTTGTTGCTACATATACCATTTCATTGAAATAAGACTGGGTTAAGAATTTTCATGTTTTCCTCTCTGCTTCTTAATTTCCTCATTAAGGTTATGACACAATTCTAATGAACTCCTTTAGTTAAAAATTGTGAGATTAAACTTATGCTTTCTGACCCCAAGTTAAAGGACGTTTTAGGTTCAATATTAGGAATAAACTTGTAAAATCAGAAGTGTCCACAAGACTGCCTCAGGAGGTAATAAAGTTACCCACGACTATAGGTATACAAACAGAGCTTTTGACTGGCAGAACTTTGACTTTCCACTGCTCCATCTAGGCCATCCATTGTAATATACACTGCAGTGAGAACTGTAAGAAAGAGATTAGCTTCCTACATATTGCATTTTTGTGGCTTTGGAATTTTTGGTTCATGATTTTATACTGTCATAGTTAAATGAATCAGTAAGATAGCAAATGAACTATAATTTAGCGAACTGATGAAAATTGTCAAACTTCCCTGTGTATGCCAAGTTTAATATTAGAATAAAGTTGAAATTGTGGCTCTTGAATCTCTGCAGAGCTAAGACACACACAGCTCTGTAGTGAGGTCACAGTAGCCTGGAGCCTATGTTGAATATAACTAGGCTCATGCATACTGCACACATTAGTCCACATTCTGATAAAGTAGAAAATATTGAGGTTTTATCATATATGAGGCTTTTACATGCAAAGTTGGACAGATGCTGCCTGCTGCTTTCAGGTTAAATAAAATTACTTGGGCACTGCTGTGTCCTTCTGTGAGATGTTTATTCTCAACTTTCACCCTCCCTTGCCCACAACCATTATAGTGACCAAAACGTCTGCCTGCTCAACAGTGACGTGTCTTAAATAGCGCCCATTAGTTTTCAGTAATTCCCCCTGGCCTGCATGTCAGACTTCAGTTTAATGGCCTTTTTTATGTTTATTCATTTTATTTTATTTCCCATCGTGGTTTTGTTTATTTCTTTTTTGTTTTTTGTTTTTTCTGTTCTCTTTTTTAAAACCGTCGTGGTTTGCCCTTCATATTCCCCAATGTTTGCACATGACAAGATGTTGCCATCCCAACATTGCCTCCCACTTCACTGACCAGTGCCACTACTGACCATCTAGCACCAGCTACATCGGGACCACTGCCTTCAGCACCTCGGGATGTCGTGGCCTCTCTGGTCTCTACCCGCTTCATCAAATTGACATGGCGGACACCTGCATCAGATCCTCATGGAGACAATCTTACCTACTCTGTCTTCTATACCAAGGAGGGGATTACTAGGTAAGTGCCCATATGTTTGAAGCCCGTTGGATACATCTTGGTCCCTTCAGCCAGTCGTGCTCACCCTGGCTCTTTGTTGTGCAGGATCTGTACCAATTTTCAGTCTAGAAAATATGATCACTGTGATGCATCTTTCCTAATTTTAGGTCATTAGAAATAAATTCCCAAACAGACTGAAGTCCTAGTACTCTTTCCTGCCTTTCTGCATGACTTGTGGAGAGGGTAAATAGATTTATTGAGGTTGAAGTATTAAAATGTAACCAGGGCTACCCTTTGCTCTTAAGATTCAGTCAGCGCAGCCTAATAAGATAGGGCTTATTTAGAACTTTCAGATTTTAGAAATTAAGGTAGACTTATTAAAGTAATCTGAAGGAACATTTGCCTGCACCGTTATGTGTATGTGGGCTACTGAACTTCAGGGGGTCTCCTTGATGACACAAGAGTAATTAGAGATTAATTTTCCTAAAAACAGCATTTTCATTAAATTCCTCTCCATCTCCACCCCTTTCAGGACCTCACAATGCCTCTCCAATTAGGCCCAGAATCCCCAGGCTACTTTACTCCAGTCTAGCTGTAGTCTAGCTGTCCATGCCTATTTTTCTTCCCTCCCCCGTTGAACTCATTTTCTAGTGGCACTAGTCTAGTTCTCATCACTGTGTAGCCTTTTTCCCCAATCTAATCTCTTCATTCACACATCCCCTTCTTCCCTCCTTCTTAGCTAAAGCTAAGTTAAGTTCATCCTTCTAGGCCCAGGTGAAGCCCCATGATCCCTCATAAAGCTTCCTCTACCCTTGTCAGCACACAGAGCATTTATCTTACATATGTGTTTGTACCACTCCTACTGGCACTTATGATAACACATGATCTTGTGCTGCCATAAGTTACTCTTCTGTTATTTTATGTGCATTAGTGTTGTTTTCCCAGTCTGATTATAAATTTCGGGAGGAACCATGCCATTTGCTAAATACGTGTTCCTAACATTGCTGAGTAGATTCCTCCATTGCACTGTTACTTCGCCCCAGAATATGAAAGCTAAAATGTTTGTTTTGATTAGGGCCTTAACATATGAAATAAAGCTTGTATTGCTACTAGGGTGCTGACATTTGATATATATTGTCTTTAATACCAGACAGGCAAATTCAGCAAGTACAGGAACCTTAATCAAGTGATTTAATACTCTTGAGCAGTACATGTGACATAATTTAGCCAGATAGATGGAGCCGTTCATAGGGTAATGTTTATCTGAACACTGCACTGGATGTTTTGGGAATTACAAAGATAAGGAAACATAGTCCTTGACACAAAAAGGCAAGACATTACTACCAAACAGCATGTATGTTAAAAAGTCTTCAATCGGCTTTCAAATCTCATTACAAATTTCATAGGATTTCACAGGAGGAAGAAAGCATTAGCTCCTCAGAACAGCAAGCTTGCTTACACTGCAGGACCTTGTTATTTGTGAGGAAAGTGCATTTTCTGGCTCTTGTCTGTCACCCTCAGATGACACCTGCTCAGGCTTCAGTGAACCCACCTAGCTTAGCCTCTCAGTCACTCTCCCACTATGCTCTACTGGAGCCACCTTGTTCCCAAGCCAATTATTACATTTTTCAGGAAACTTTGCAAACCTGATGACATGGATTGGTAGCTTGAAATTGGACATGGCAGAAGTATTTACAGTGACAAGTGCTACAAACCAGAGCTGACTGTTAAACATTTACTCCAGAACACCACTGCTATCACATCAACCTGTTTTATTTCTTTGCTTTTGTTTTAAAACATGTAACACTCTGAAATTTTCTTTTTTATTAATGTATTTATTGTGTCTGGCCAGCACCTAGAACAGAGCCTGGCATATAGTAGCACTAAATAAATTAATCTCAGTGGAGAAATAATAATTATCCAAGAAGTTATGTTGAAATAATTAACTCTATTTGCTGGAAAGAATAAAAGTTCCATCTCTGTCTTCTATCATGTATAACAACAAATTGCAGATGGGTCAAGAGAATAACTTCACAGACTTACAAACCTACTTCCTGCATTGGAAAAAATCTACCACCAGATGGCACTATGTGCCTTAGTCATTAGCTAAATTCTGTTGGGTTTCCGAGTTTTAAAGAATTCTTGCTCTGCCTTTTCAGCTGCGAAATGTTTCCCTCCCTCCCCCCATTGCCTTTAATGTAAACAGCAGCACTTTTCTGATACTAGCTACTAAATGGAGAATACAGAGTAAGTTATTCCAGAAATGAATAGCACTTTGGCATTCTTTCACTTCAAAGCCTTAGGTATCTGTTAGTCTAGTCCAGGAGTTGGCAAACTATGGACCCTGGGCCAAATTAGACTTGTTATTTTAATGTCCCAAAAACTAAAAATAGTTTTTATCTTTTCAAATGGTTTCATTGTAATAGGTTATATAACTACATATTCTCCATTTTCCCTCTTGGCCTATATATATTTAAGAAATATTTGGCCCTTTAAGAAAAAATTTGCCACCCTGATCTCCCTTTTTTCATTTAATACATGAGTAAACTGAGGCCAAGAAAGAATTAGTGACTTGGCTGTGGTCCCCTAGCAAGCTAGTGGTGTTGCCAGAACTAGAGCTGGAGCTCCTAACTTGTAGCCCAGTACCATCTTAATAAAGGTGTACCTTATTCTTTCTGTTTGACTCTTAGCTAGCACATTCTAATCTAAGTCCCACTGTATTATCACACATTTATGACTCACCCTGGGTCTTGTCCTGAAGCATTTTTCTTGACAGACACTTGGTTCTGGAACCTCAGACCCATCTAGTGTTTAGAAGCCTTTTCAGGTGCTGGGTATTTCATCTTAGAGACTGTAACTATTACTCACTTTGTTTTATTATAGTTCTTCTTTTGAAACTTTTCTAGGTTTATAGTGCCCTTCACTCATTTCTCCCATTTTTTCCCTTTCACATCGAACAAAGATATACATAATATCATTACTATACAGTATTTGCATATCAGAAGGCAAATCTCCATTCATTCAACACACCTTTGTGATGCTGCTTCTGTGTATGAGCATTCTGCTGAGTGCTTCTGTGGAATGTGAACACACATGAGACAACCTTTCACTTCAATTTGAAGTTAAATAGTACTCCCATCTTTCTCAGAGGGAACTGTTCAAACTTTTAAGTGCAGAGTGAGCAAAACAGACTAATCTGTGCTCTCACTTGGAACTTTTAATTTAGTGCAGCAATTTTCAACCGGTGTGCCACAAGGATTTTTAAAACATGCGACACCTGATTACATAGTCGGGGCACTGACCTCTTTTCCCTTAGATTGTCAAATTAAAAAATGACAGCAGCCAACACAATAGACGTCCAGTGTGAATGAATCAAAATTATACCCACTTTTTTGTCAGATTGGCAAAAAATATATTTTTTGGTGTGCCACAGAATTTTAGTAATTAGTTTATGCGTGCCATGAGATGAAAAAGGTTGAAAATCACTGGTTAGTGAGATGTAAAATATATCTTCCTTTTAGACAGCAATCATTTGTGACCAAACCAAGTGTCAGAAACTTCAAATGTAAGAAATCAGTTGCCATCCTCCTTCTAAATCTTGTGAATTAGAGGTTTAGCTGAAGAGAAAATATCTATAACAATAAAAGCATAATCTGCTAATTAGACCGAACAGCCGAATGACCTTCCCGACTTCATTCCAGACGAAGCTGGAAGTGGTTAGGGGCAATCAGGCAGGCAGGCAGGCAGAATGGTTAGGGGTGATCAGGTAGGCAGGCAGGTGAGCAGTTAGGAGCCAGCGGTCCCGGATTGTGAGAGGGATGTCCGACTGCTGGTTTAGGCCCGATCCCTGTGGGACATCCACCGACGGGTCCTGAATTGCGAGAGGGTGCAGCGGGGGCCGAAGCAGAGGCGGTTACGGGCGATCTGGCAGGCAGGCAGTGGTTAGGGATGATCAAGCAGGCAGAGTGGTTAGGGGTGATCAGGCAGGCAGAGTGGCTAGGGGTGATCAGGCGAGCAATTAGGGGTGATCAGGCAGGCAGGCGAGCAGTTAGGGGTGATCAGGCAGGCAGGCAAATGGTTAGGGATGATCAGGCAAGCAGAGGGGTTAAGGGTGATCAAGCAGGCAGGCGAGTGGTTAGGGATGATCAGGCAGGCAGGCAGACGAGTGGTTAAGGGCGATCAGGCAGGCAGGCAGAATGGTTAGGGGCAATCAGGTAGGCAGGCAGGTGAGCAATTAGGGGCCAGTGGTCCCGGATTGTGAGAGGGATGTACCACTGCCAGTTTAGGCCCAATCCCTGTGGAACATCCCCCAATGGGTCCCAGATTGCGAGAGAATGCAGGCCGGGCTGAGGGACACACCCCCCCCCCATACACAAATTTTGTGCACCGGGCCTCTAGTCTTTAAATATCTCAAATACCTCTGAGCAATACATTTTGTTATCATAGTACTCTTTTTCAATGCACCTTATTATAGAAAAGCAACATCTATAAATGTGAAGGTAGCTTAAAGAACTATAAAAAACTATTGAAAAACACTTAAATGACCAAATGTTCATATACAGTCAGACAAATTGAGATATGGTGATATAGAACTAAACAAATTTTAATCAATAATTTCAGGGAAACTTACCAATATTTTAAAGTAAGAATTATAATTCAATATACTAGGTAATTTCAGATAATTTCTTCCACAGAGTAGTTTTGGGCCTTTTATTACTCTCCCAAGATAGATACAGATCTTTCTTCACATGATTGGCAAATATTAAAGGCTAGTTCTTTGTCTAAAACAAGAACGTAAATTTCTTTAAATTATTTGTTGAGAACTTTTTGTAATTTGATATGGCTTTTTTTAATAGTAAATACAGTAGACTGAGCATAATTATAGACCCTTGTGTGGACACAAAGACCCCCAAGATTGAGCCCAGACACTACCTCTTTTAAAGAACCTAGAAAATTACTTTTATATTTTCATCTCATGACACCAGACTGCTGGATTCATTTGTACATTCATTTGTACAAATGAATGTTAAACATTTCAAATCGTTTTTGAAAAAAGCGTTTAAAAAGAGTATTCTTTTTTAAAAAATAAATTATAAAAGCCAGTGTCATGATTAGCTTATTTTATAGGTTAGGTTACTTTTAGGTTTTATTAAATTTTTAATGTTTTCTTCCCAATTTTAAAAGTGATAATCTCTAGTTTTCCTTTTATTGAGAATCTGTTACCAAAAATACTTACAACATCCCTTGATATTTTCTGTGGAAATTGGGTCATACCTATAATCACCTTCTGTTTGTCTCCCTGAGAATCACCCCTTAAAATTCAATAATTTCTGAAGCCTACAAAATTGATGAACAGCTGCCCTATTTGAAATGGCATTGAAAAGGCCTTGTCTGTGTCTTCTCTGCAAAGAAGTTGTGATTATAACTAGCAATATCAGCAATATTTAAACAAGAACATCAATAAGTTATCAAACATGTATGATATTGCTCTTTCCAAGTTTCCCTGTTCTGCTGTGCACTGTTCCATCCCAAAAAGTTTCCTCCTTTGAGAGTTAATTTGACTTAAATTTATGATATTTTGATGTGGTATGGTATCTATCTACAGGCGTTGCAGTAGAAATAAAACTGCACATTTTAGAAATATTTCTAATCAATGTTTCTTTCCGAATTGTTTTGTCCAAAGGGAACGTGTTGAGAATACCAGTCACCCAGGAGAAATGCAGGTAACCATTCAAAATCTAATGCCAGCGACTGTGTACATCTTTAGAGTGATGGCTCATAATAAGCATGGCTTTGGAGAGAGTTCAGCTCCTCTTCGAGTAGAAACACAGCCTGAGGGTAAGTCTCCCACCTGTCTGTCAGCCCCACTTGTAGGTCTGACCTTCAAATAGGTCTACCTTATGTGTAGCCTTGAACACCATAGGAGTGTAAAAGATAACAGTCCCTTGCCTTTAAGGATTTTATGAATTAGTTAGGAGAAATAAAATTAGTTCACATCAAACAGTAGCTAATAGTGTAAGACAATGTAATTCTGATACAGTCTCAAATTTTACTGATTCTTTAAGACCTACCTCAAATGCCTACTATAATCTTTCCACTGATCCTGATATTATATCTTTACAATTCTAAGATACAGTATTACTTTCTTCTGTGAATTGTGATTATGGATATATCTTTCTTTTTTTAAGATTTTTTTTATTGACTTTTAGAGAGAGAGGAAGGGAAAGGGAGAGAGAAAGAGTCATTGATGCCAGAGAGAAACATTAATTGGCTCCCTCCTGAACAATCCCTATAGGGGATCGAGCCCACAACCCAGGCATGTGCCCTGACTGGAAATCGAGCTGGCAACCTTTCAGTGCACAGGACAACATCCAAACAAATGAGTCACAATGGTCAGGGCCATATCTCGTTTATTTTATGGCAAAGACAGAGTCTTTGTCAACTTTATATTCCCCAGTGTCTGAAGTAGGTATTTAATATTTGGTATCACTTGGATTGTCCTGATCTTTTGTATATTACACTCTTTGGAATCTCTTTAAGGCTTTACTTTGGATCTGTGGTCTTTTGTGTTAGATACTGTTACTTCCGATTACATTTCTCAAGATTTTCTGCAACTTAAATGAGAGTCAGGTTGATTTATTTTATAAATGTCTTGTATGTCTTAAATTTTTATTGTAAACTATAGCCCTGAAATTATAAGAAGCAATCAAACCATAATGGATGCTTTTCCCCTGAGGCTTTCTTCCACATGTTTTCTTCTTTTAGCACAAGCCACTGTTTTCCATCATAACCTTCTCCAGTTTTCTTTAACTGTTTAACTGCACTAGTTTTTCAAGTGAACAAACTTCCAGTAACAAAGATTTTACTTCATCTATGAGTAACTTAGTTGCAAAACATTTGTGGAAGCCACAGACCAGGAAACTAAACAGATTTAATGAATTTGCCAGTGAAACTATGGAAATAATTCAAAGACTTTACCTGGTTTGATGGATGAAATAAGCCAAGTCCAGAAGCTATGGAAAGTCACTTCCTAATGCTGGAGCAGATCCATTTCCTCATCCAGTGTTTATTGAGCACCCCCATTCCAGGTCCTACACAGGTAGTAGAGATGCAGGAGGCACAGGATAGGAAGTCTCCTCTTAAAAACGAGCAGTCAAGATGGGAGGCCACTGATCACTTCAGTGATAGGGCTTGAAGACCAGGAGTCAAACCCAGGCAAGAACAAGAGGGCATTCAGAGAGTCAGCAGGTTGATTTAAGGAAAGAATGTGTTCTCATTACAGGGAAAGGATGTTGAATTTTACAGTTATTGTGTTCAGATAAGAGCTGGAATAGTCTATTACAAGCTCAGTTTTCCTCCACTAACGTTCAAGTACAGGTGTCATTTATGAGAGATACGGGGATATAAAACAAGGAACAAATACTGTAAAGTTAGGTATATCAAGGCAGGTTCCCAGGAAAAGATGAGTGTTGGCCTTGAAGCATTTGACTTAGAGCAAGCATTCTTGGGGGGAAAAACTGCATGACCCAAATTCCCCAGGTAGGATCAAACTACACATGTAAGGTGCGTCATGATGAAAATAAAGGAAAATGTCACTGGATTTAATTGAGTGCAAGAGTTCCCTGGGGCTGTGAACCTTATGAAAATATTTGTGTATCTGTACAAAGTCACATTTTCCTTGGGAAAGAGCCTGTGGCTTTCATTGTCATTTAAGAACTAATGATGAAACTGTTGAGATCCACTGGACCTGAAGGGTCATTGTTAATTTAGAGATGAAAGAAAAGATGTATGGGACAGTAGATTTATTAAGTGCCTACCATGTGCCAGTCACTGATGTAAAGGTGAGTCAAGATACGAAGTTGAGAAAGACTGGACTTCAATCCACAAGAAGCTTACAGTCTGGTTCCAGAGACAGACAAGTAAACGGACGGTAGTGTGATATGCTTGCATCACAGTCATTTGTTCAAGGAGTTTGGTTAAAAGAAAGTAGTTAAAAAAGACTACAGATGGGAGGGGCAACAGATTCTGGTGAGGGTGTTTTAGAGATGGAGAGTGACTATTACATGCTTTCACAAAAGAGAAAGCTTTAGTGGAGAGCAGTTTGCACTTCATCTGGAGGTAATCAGCCTGTGTGGGAAGTATAAGGGCTGTGTGGAGTCAGCCCTTGGGAAATATTTTACATATTTAGCTTCACAAACCAACTTAAATTTTTTCCATTTATTATGCCATTGTATAGCTGAAATGAAAGAATTTAGTAGCACACTTTTTAGGATCATATTTGCCTATGTTTAGGTTAGCCAATGAATATATTGAAAATTATTTCATGGGAATTTGGGGACTGTTGTTTTCCTTCTCCTTAAATAAGTTAGAGGAAAGTTTTCCATATCAGCAGAAGTGTGACAAATCCCACTTGTCAGGCTGCACAAAATATGCTCTTAACATGAAGTGAAAAGCAAGACTTATGACTAAAAAAGTAAATAACTGTCAGAATAACCATATTCAGGTTTCTCTACTTGGGTAGCAAAACTAATCTTAAGCTGTGGTGCTATTATTTAAGAAAGCCAGTTTGTTCCTTTTCCCCCTTTCCTTAAATCTCATGGGTGTCTGTTACAGAAACACTAGCACCAGAGAAGTTGTTTTCAAATATAGTGTCCAGCAAAGTGTAGGCATAGGCAGCCATCCAGGATTTGTGTATAAACTGAGGCTGGAACCTGTCAGTCAGACAAAAAGAATGTCTTAAAAAGGTATGTGAGATGTTGTAGGAGTTAGAGCTGGACAGTCAAGCAACTGACTACTCATTGTGTCTCCGAGTTACATATGTCCTAAGGAGGGGGTTGTACTAATCTCCTAACTGGTCTTCTTGAGCCCGTTTTAGAATCAGAAAGTGCTCAATTCCTGGTTCTAACACGCACTAACTTCCCAACACTTGGAACCATTCTTAACTTCTCAACCTCATCTATGAATACAGATGATAATCATATCCATCTCATTTGAGTTGCCCAAAGATTAAATAGATGTAATTTAAATACATGTAAAGCACTCAGTGCTAAACTGACTGCAAGCATTCAATAAAAGGTAGCTATTTATAAAGTTGCTCTTTTATCTCTAGTCTTGTTCCCTTAACCGTTTTTCTCCCATGTGCGTGCTTACATGTCCTTTCTAAACATATATCTGATCCAGTAATGTCATGTTTCTGCTCATAATTTTTCAGTAATTATCTAACACCTACAAGAGATAATCCAAAGTCCATGGCAGGGCATTAAAGGTCCTTCATTATCCGGCTCTTGTCATCCTTTTCTCCATTCTCTCTCCCACATCTACTCTCGGTTGCAGCCTGACCACCTAACACTGCCTTCTCACATGTTATTCCCCATTTACTGGAATAGTTTTCCCCTCGGTACCTGATAAAACTACTCATTTTTCTTGCTCCCCAGAAGTAGTCACCAGTCTTTCCCTTTGTTACCACACCCACCCAAAGCAGAGTTGTGTGCTCTCTTTGTTTTTGTTACATTTGCTACTTAATTGTACTATGACATTATTTGTAACTGTTTATAAATCTGACTTCCCTCTAGACTGGGAGTTCTTTGGGACAGAGACTCTGTCCCTCCCTGCATCCCCACCACTGGTAAAGGGAGGTTCTTGTTTTGTGATGGTGGCTTTATATGTGCTGCTATCCCACTGCCAAACTAGGAGTTTGTAATCCAAAGGAAGAATTCTGCAGTGTTCTTTTTTTCCTTTTAATAAATTTGAGATTTTTCACAGATAAAATGTGGTTTTAATTTAATTCATAAAAAGGTAAATTTGTTTAATTATATATTATCCTGAAACCAATAAAATCAGTTGTTTTCTTAGTGTTTTTTATTATTTTTAAAACATGGCCATCTATAATAATAAAAACATAATATGCTCATTAGACCAGATGTCCTAATGGGCTTCCTTCCTTCCGGACGAAGCTGCAGCGGGCAGGGGCCGAGGCAGAGGCCCGCAGCCGTGAGGCACAGGCAGCCGCCACAACAGGCAGGGTCCAAACCCTTTGCACAAATTTCGTGCATCGGGCCTCTAGTTATGATTGCTGAAAATGGTTATTGAGGGGTGCAGTAAATTTCATTTATATCTTGCTGTCTTGAAATTTTCTTTCTAGTTCAGCTCCCTGGCCCAGCACCTAATATCCGAGCGTATGCAACTTCCCCTACTTCCATCACTGTCACCTGGGAAACACCATTGTCTGGCAATGGGGAAATTCAGAATTACAAATTGTACTACATGGAAAAAGGGACTGACAAAGAACAGGTATAAGATAAAGCCATTTTTTAAATTTATTTTTAAATTACAGTTGACAAACATTTTCAGGTGTACAACATTAGTGATTAGGCATTTATATATCTCATATAAATAAGATTGCGAGAGGTCGCAGGCCAGGCCAAGGGACCCCACTGGTACATGATTGGGGCTGGGGAAGGGTCACGGCCGGGGAAGGGTTGCAGGAGGGCTCCAGGGCGTGTCCGGCCTGTCTTGCCCAGTCCTGAACAGCTGGACCCCAGCAGCAAGCTAACCTACTGGTTGGAGCGTCTGCCCCCTGGTGGTCAGTGCGCATCATAGTGACTGGTCGGACACTTAGCATATTAGGCTTTTATTTTATAGGATGAAGTGATAACCCTGATAAGTTCTAGTACCCATCTGATACCATACAGGGTGATTATATTAAGCCAGTTTTCAATCCATTGATTGCAATAGTAGAGTTGAACTATATTTCCAAAACTTAATGCTTGCTAGTCTAGAAATCTGAGACTTGAAAAAAATAAAAAGGATAGGAAATGAAAGTTGACAGTTTCTGTTTCTTTGTGCAAAGATTTATTCTGTAGATTTTACCAGCAAGGATTACTCAAGACCAAGCAATATTCCTCAGTAAATTGCCAGTGTTTATGGTTTTATGGTTAATCTGCTTTGACTGTTAAATAATATTCTGTACAAAGGATAAAAATCAGTATAGTTCATTCTTTTTTGTAACATGTCTTTTCGTGTGAGTTGTATATATGTAAATTGTTTTCATTTTATTCAAGGATGTTGATGTTTCAAGTCACTCCCATACCATTAATGGGTTGAAAAAATATACAGAGTATAGTTTCCGAGTGGTGGCCTACAATAAACATGGTCCTGGAGTCTCCACACAAGATGTTGCTGTTCAAACATTGTCAGATGGTGAGTCTTTCTTCCTTTGGAACAGAATACTGTGCTTGGGGGCCCTGGTGACATAGTAGTAAGATCATGGGCTTTGATGTCAAGAAGATCCTGTTCAAATCCCAGTATCCGTTTTTCATAGTGTCTTTGGTCCAGTCACTCAGCATGTCTGAATATGTGTCTTTAACGTGAAATATAAAGAATACCAACTTCATTGGGTTGCTGAAAGATTTATTGAGAGACAGAACATGGTAGTGCCTAGAACCAAATAGCTTCTCAGTGTTTTTATTTTTAGTAGGGGCTTTTGTATAAGTAACTATTATTGCTTATTCATAACACAGACTATTTAAGGGCTGTGAAAAGGCTAGCCTTGGTCTATTTAGCAATCCAAATAGGTCTTTTTAATCCCACAGTGTTTTAGGATAATGTCATTTCTCACCTGTGACTGAACTTCCAAGCTAAGTTACATATATATCTCCATTACGTAGAGCAGTATTTTTTAAATTACAGCTTGCTAAAAAGATTGAGTAGGTCAAGAACCAGTATTTAAAAATATATATTTTAGAATAGAACAGAAAATAACAGTTTATTGTACTTAGTAAGTGTATATATTGTTTCCTGAAACTCACCTAAATCCAATGTGTTGCAAAAATATCTTTTTCTAAAAAATGCATGTATATGCATATACCCCTTATATATAAACTTGCAAGTTTTAAAAGCTATAATTTTATTCCTTTAAGCAAATGGTCAAACATAACATCAGCAATAATGGAGCCAACTGACATTATGTGTGTCCTGATAGGAGACATTGAGAAAGACACAATGACTGTCTCCCCTATGCTGTAGCCCTGTGAAAAATGTCTCACTTGAATCTGATCATAAATTGGGGGAAATTCTGGGAAAAAAATTGCCTGGATTCTTAAAAAATATTAATTTCATGAAAGGAAAAAAATGGTTATGGACTCATTCATGAATCTAGATTAAAGAAGACACATGAAATTATATAAAATAGTTATCATCTGTTGCTAGTTCCTGGATCTAGGAGTAAAAATAAATAAATAAAGGGCACTCTTGATACATTTACTTAATGTTAAATAGGTATAGTATTAGGCAATATTAAGTATTAGATATGTTATTAGATATATTAGATAATATTTTGTGTTAAGATTAAATTTTCTAAAAGTACTCATTATATTATAGTTTTGTTGGAGAATGTCTGAATTTAGGAGCACATACCGTAGTATTTAGGAGTGAAGTCTCATGTGACTGCAGCTATCTCTCAGATGACTCAGCAACAGTCTGTAGATAGATAAATATGTTTGTGTAAATATAGTGAAAACTAGAGCAGATGTGACAGAACATTAACAATTGGTGAATTCAGGAAAAGAATATAAAATGTCCTAAAAAATGTATACACACTTTAACAGCTGATAGTTCAGCTGATGTTTCTTTCTTTTCAGATTTAACCCACTGCAATTAATAATGGGTTAAAAGTATGTATACATTTTTTGGGGACATCCTACATATGGCATTCATATGTATGGCATATCCTTACCATTGTGTTCAGTGTGCTTAATATTTTTCAAGGTAAATTGGTAAAAATAAATACAAACTATAGTTTGGTTAGCCAACCACATAAGCCAGTCGGTCAAGACGGGGAAAAGTTGAGGGGGCTTTGAAATCTACACATGAGCCAATTTTAACTGCACTAAGTGGGTTGGCATGCCGACTATAGTGCCTGTCAGGGAACTTAATGTGTCTGAGCATGGTGCTTAAGGGCAGCACTTGGGAGTAAGACAAATTTTGGTTCCAATGTTGGCTGAAATAAATACTGTGGACAAGAGATTTGAACCTCATCTATAAAGTGGGAATAATAATGGAAACTCCTATGTGGGATTGTTGTAAGGATTAAGTCTGCCATGTAAGAGCACACAGCAACTCTTAGCTGTGATGATGATGATGATGAAGAAGGAGAAGGAGAAGAAGAAAAAAGAAAGAAGAGGAAGGGGAAGGGGAAGGGGAAGGGGAAGGCAGGAAGGAAGGAAGGAAGGAAGGAAGGAAGAAGAAAAGAAGAAGACATTGCAACAGCAACTACTTTGGGGGCCTCTGTAGCTAAGTCAGAAGTTCTTAACAGGGAGAGGTTGGAAGCATTCATGGCCTTCGTTCCAAGCATAGGTGCCCAAGTCACACAAGACCCTTTGAGGGTTGAGGCCTGATGCACTTTGTACAAGATACAATATTGAGCAAGAATAGTCTCTGTCCTCCAGAAGCCTATAGCACAATGGGCACTGAGTTATATACCTGGTCACCAAATGTCAGAGAAAGGGCGAGAGAAGATTCCATAGATGGATTAGGAGAGAAGATCTAAAGTCAGCATTTTGTGTGCAGAGAAGAAATCCAATAGGATTACTTGAGTTCTCTTTGCTTGTTTTAGTTACTACAAAGGGGAATGCTGGAGGGTGTGTGGACCATAAACTTTGAGATACCCCTGTCTTATGTTCTAATATGTGAGGAACTAAAGTTGTGCAGCAATTTGTTTAAGCAACAGTCAAACTTTTCACATCTAAATGAGTGTTTCTGCTATACAGTTATCTTGGGAAGCCAGGTGGTCACCTTACTGAAGCTGTCATTTCCTAAATATCTGTTTTACTTAAGAACTGCCTTCAAAACCAGTTTTGGAACTTCACTAGAAAGCCAAGCTCACTGATTTATGTCTGTCCCATTTTGGACTCATAATGACATTACCCACTTCATTTACTTTCCATATTCGTTAGACTTGTTTCCAGAAGATTTGTGGTTCTTCCCCAAAATAAAGCTATGCTACCACCAAGAATGATCAAAAGAATATGTTGAAGGTTCAGAATGTATCTGAGGTCTAGAAAAGTTTAGAGTCAGTCACATTCTCGAAATAATTACCTGACTTCCCAAAAGCACAATCTGACTTGGGTATGGGTGTATGTATATGAAGGCGTTTCATTTTTTTAAATGAATCAAACATGACCACACCTTATCCACATACTACTATCAACACAAGGGCACCGACAGCTGCATTTTGACCTTCAGGTTGCATAGTCAGTGTTTGAGATGTGCATTTGTGTAAAGTCCAGCCAAGAAGAGTCAAATGATGGGTGATAAAAAAAAACAAAAAACTTTTTTTTTTTTTTTGCCTGTCCAGTTCCCAGTGCTGCTCCTCAGAATCTGTCCTTAGAAGTAAGAAATTCAAAGGTAAAACTTTTTATTGTCGTTGTTCATTTTTACTGGTATATTATTAAAACTCAGAAGGGCTTATAGAGAGGGAGATCCTATATCAAAACAATCATTATCAGGAAATAAGGTGACCTAGATATTATACTTGCCAGTAAAGCTGGGTTTAGAAACCAACTTCAGTTTATTCTGTTTAACTTTACTGCCTTTCTCTGATACCAAAATTATTTCAGCCTTTCTGCAAATATATTGCTATCATGTAAATTATTACAATCTAGATCTTAACAGCCCAGAACCTTGGTGATTAGGTAGAAAGAAGGAAGTCGTTTATGATACCATAGTTCCTTAGTCCTGTGAGATGAGCCCAGTGTGAATATTTCTGATGGTTGCAGATGCTGAAACCATCTCTCTGAGTCACATTCACTGTACACTTATGGCATGTACACCTCTCGGAAGGCCCAGAGCCCTGGGCTACATAGACTTCTGACATGTTCAGTCCTTTCAAAAAGTACTATTGGACTCCTTTTCCTTAAAAAACAACTAGCTGCTAATTAATTATCCCCTTTTGGAAGAGTTTTAGACAGAAATTATCTAAGTTCAGCTGTTCCACAATTGAGATGGGAAGAGAACCTTACACATAACAATAGTTTACTGCCTAATTCATGAGTCTCTGACCTTATGTTTTCTTCTGAAAACTTTTTTGAGACTTTCGTCTTCAATCTGGCAAAACACCCAGGACATCAAAGGCCCAGAGTATATGCCAACAAATATAATACCCCACTTTGGTCATGGGGGGGGGGGGTTAAATTAATAAGTATTTTTGAGTGATTATTAAGTAACTTAGTAAAACTCTAATCACCCTACTGGCTTTATGTTCCTTCTCTTTGCACAGAATTTGGGATAATGCATAAAATAGTTAGGACCAAGATTTTGACATATTTGGTCTTTTCCCCATAAACTTATCCTTTCTAGAGTATTATGATTCACTGGCAGCCACCTCCTCTAGCCACACAAAATGGGCAGATTACTGGCTACAAGATTCGCTACAGAAAGGCTTCCCGAAAGAGTGATGTCACTGAGACGTTGGTGCCTGGGACCCAGCTGTCTCAGCTGATTGAAGGTGAGTTCCTCTGCACATAGGCAAAAGTCGGGAGATATATCTGCCTTAGACACTGAGCTTCTCTGATTACTGCTTGGAGCTGTTGTCTTGTACAAAGTTAAAATGGTTCAAAAGGATTTGTAAATATTTGATAAAAATTAATTGAAAACACTCTTACACATTCTGCCATTTCTGAATGAGATTATATTTTAGTTTTATTTCCTTGTGTTTTTCTGTATGCTTTATGATATATGTAGTTTTTTTATAATCTGAAAAAAAGTTAAAACAAAGTTATATAAACAAAGAGTCTGCACAGTCTAGTTGTTAGCAGAGTGTACAGAAAGTAAAAGTGTGCTCTAGTAATCCAGCAAGCTTTTCTCCTTACCCCTCATCTCATAGATGAGACTGACTCCTTTCAAAATAGAAGGTGAATGTTTGTCTCCATGGAGTCAGTCTTCTCCTTTCTGCAGAAAGTAAACATGGCTGCCATGAGTGCTGCTGAGAAATCTCACTGAAGGAACATTACTGTAAAATTCCTCACAGATGTTCTTAAAAGTCAGTTTCTGATTTTACTCCAGATACAGTTAAGTAACAGTTTCCATCTGTAGGGTTTTACTTTGAATATTTAATAGCAGATATTTACTGTATACCAGGCATTGTTCTTGTTGCCAATAACATAAAAATAGAGTACAGTCTTTGCCCATGAGGGGACTATTCATTTTTTTTCAATTCAACATTTGATGTATAAGGAAAATACCATTTTCATGGTAAAAATCGATTTTTCTTTTTTTGTTTTTTGTTAATCCTCACTTGAGGATATTTTTCCATTGATTTTTTAGAGAGAGTAGAAGGGAGGGGAGAGAAACATCGATGTGAGAAAGACACATCAATTGCTTGCCTCCTGCACATGCCCCGACCAAGGCCAGGGATTGAACCTACAACCAAGGTACGTGCCCTTGACCGGAATCGAACCCGGGACCTTTCAGTCTGCCGGCTGATGTTCTGAGCCAAACCAGCTAGGGCTAGATTTTTCTTCATCAAGAAAATTCTTGCATTTTAAAATCATATTTAGATTGGTTCATTTGTTTAACAGACCTTATTGAGTTTTTATTAGTGTGGGCTAGCACTGGGCATATAATGGTGAACAAAAATGGAGATCTTTGCTCTCTTGAAACATTACCTTGAAGCTTGATAAATATTAGAGAATAATCTGGATCACCAGGATCCTGTATTGAACAATAACCAACATGATTAAGTTTTAGCCAGAAGTAATTGTTGTTTCTTCTTTTTGTACCACTTATAGCACTTAACGTAGTCAGCCATAATATGATTTGTGTTCCTTAGTTTTAGTCTGTGAACTCTGTTGGTTACTTCTGGGGAAGAGGAACTCTTAACCATTTTACATGTGGGTCTCCCTTGGGCATGATTTTATGCACTCTCACTCACTGGCTAAGTCACTCTCTTACATTCTGACTCTCCCCAAAGGCATAGTAATCTGATTGGTTGAATTCTTTCAGAACCTCAGTTGAACCATGTTTGCTAGGAGACCAGATTGTTGTCTATTAATAGTTGTAAGTTGCCCTGACCGGTTTGGCTCAGTGGGTAGAGCGTCGGCCTGCAGACTCAAGGGTCCCAGGTTCGATTCCGGTCAAGGGCATGTACCTTGGTTGCGGGCACATACCCAGTAGGGAGTGTGCAGGAGGCAGCTGATCGATGTTTCTCTCATTGATCTTTCTAGCTCTCTATCCCTCTCCCTCTCCCTTCCTCTCTGTAAAAAATCAATAAAATATATTTTTTTAAAAATAGTTGTAAGTACATGTATAGTCACTCTGGCTCTTTCTGGTTCATGTAGGCAGGGAGATAAAGTGACTTGGGCCCAGCCATTTTGCTTCTCATTCTGTTTTGCTTCTTGCTTTCTTGTGGGCAAATAAGATGATCTGCAGAGAACAGAACCTCCCATCTCTCCTCTCACACCCTGTGACAGGATTGATTAACTGAGCCAGGGCTTATCTTGGCCAAGTTCTCTCTCAATTTCTGTACTGTGTTGCTGGCCAAAGATCCCAATATTTGGATATGGAGAGGTAGGATAATTTTTCATAACCCTAGTAAGACCTATCACAACATCTACTATTTAAGTGCTCTACAAATGTATGCATGTGAACTGTATACTTGAAAATGGCTAAAATGGTAAATTTTATGTGTATTTTAACACAATAAAAAAGAAAAAAATGAATTCATGAATATCTGACCATATTGTTGACTCTTGCTCTACTTTGTAGGGTAGACTTTTACATGTGGATCTTTGATTCATTGATAATTGATGTACTTTATTAGGTTATATTAAATATAGAAGGTTGCATAATAGAAAGGCATAATTTCATTTTTATTTATTATGTATACTTATGTGTTGGTAGGCTGTTGAGAAATAGCTTTCTAGGCTGTGTTAACGTTTAAAGTTTTTCTCTGTGATTATGGCGTGGCTCAGAGAACAGAGGTAACATGGTAGGAGTTACATCTTGCATTCTTTTTTTTTTTCTTTTTTTTTTCTTATTGCTAAAAGTATTACAAAGGGCATTACATTGTGTCCTTCCTCCATACTGTCTTCCATAGTGGCTGCACCAGTCTGCATTCCCACCAGCAGTGCACAAGTGTTCCTTTTTCTCCACATCCTCTCCAGCACTTGTCGTTTGTTGATTTGTTGATGATAGCCATTCTGACAGGTGTGAGATGGTACCTCATTGTTGTTTTGATTTGCATCTCTCGGATGATTAGTGACTTTGAGCATGTTTTCATATGTCTCTTGGCTTTCTGAATGTCCTCTTTTGAAAGGTGTCTATTTAGATCCTTTGCCCATTTTTTGATTGGATTGTTTATCTTCTTTTTGTTAAGTTGTATGAGTTCCCTATAAATTTTGGAGATTAGGCCCTTATCAGATATGACGTTGGCAAATATGTTTTCCCACGCAGTGGGTTTTCTTGTTGTTTTGTTGATGGTTTCTTTTGCTGTGCAGAAGCTTTTTATTTTGATGTAGTCCCATTTGTTCATTTTCTCTTTAGTTTCAACTGCCCTAGGAGCTGTATCAGTGAAGAAATTGCTTTGGCATATGTCTGAGATTTTGTTGCCTTTGGATTCTTCTAGAATTTTTATGGTTTCCTGTCGTACATTTAAGTCCTTTATCCATTTTGAGTTTATTCTTGTGTATGGTGTAAGTTGGTGGTCTAGTTTCATTTTCTTGCATATATCTGTCCAATTTTCCCAACACCATTTATTGAAGAGACTATCTTGGCTCCATTGTATGTTCTTGCCTCCTTTGTCAAATATTAATTGAGCATATTGGTTCGGGCTAATTTCTGGACTCTCTATTCTATTCCACTGATCTATATGTCTGTTCTTGTGCCAGTACCAGGCAGTTTTGAGAACAGTGGCTTTGTAATACAGCTTGATATCTGGCATTGAGATCCCACCTACTTTGTTCTTTCTCAGGATCGCTGCAGCTATTCGGGGTCTTTTTTTATTCCAGATGAATTTTTGGAGAGTTCGTTCTAGATCTTTGAAGTAGGCCATTGGTATTTTAATGGGAAGTGCGTTGAATTTATAGATTGCTTTGGGTAGTATGGACATTTTAATGATGTTGATTCTACCAATCCATGAACACGGTATGTTCTTCCATCTGTTTATGTCTTCCTCTATCTCTTTTTTCAACGTCCTGTAGTTTTCTGAGTAGAGGTCTTTTACCTCTTTAGTTAAGTTTATTCCTAGGTAGCTTAATTTTTTTGGTGCGATGGTAAATGGGATTGTTTTTCTAATCTCTCTTTCTGAAAGTTCACTGTTGGTGTATAGAAATGCCTCAGATTTCTTGGGGTTAATTTTGTATCCTGCTACATTGCCAAATTCATGTATTAAGTCTAGTAGCTTTTTGATGGAGTCTCTAGGGTTTTGTATGTATAATATCATGTCGTCTGCAAATAAGGACAGTTTTACTTCCTCTTTTCCAATTTGGATGCCTTTTATTTCTTCTTCTTGTCTAATTGCAATGGCTAATACTTCCAGTACTATGTTGAACAGGAGTGGTGAGAGTGGGCATCCCTGTCTTGTTCCTGTTCTTAGGGGAAATGGTGTTAGTTTTTGTCCATTGAGTATGATGTTGGCTGTGGGTTTGTCATATATGGCTTTTATTATGTTGAGGTATGATCCTTCTATTCCCACCTTGCTGAGAGTTTTTATCAAAAATGGGTGTTGGATTTTGTCGAATGCTTTTTCTGCATCAATTGATATGACCATGTGGTTTTTTTCTTTCAATTTGTTTATGTGATGTATTACGTTTATTGATTTACGGATGTTGTACCATCCTTGCATTCCTGGGATAAATCCTACTTGGTCATGGTGTATGATCTTTCTGATGTACTGTTGGATCCGATTTGCTAAGATTTTGTTGAGGATTTTGGCATCTATGTTCATGAGGGATATTGGCCTGTAATTCTCTTTCATTGTGTTGTCTTTACCTGGTTTTGGTATTAGGGTGATGCTGGCTTCATAGAATGAGCTTGGAAGTGTTCCTTCCTCTTGGATTTTTTGTAGTAGTCTGAGGAGGATAGGTTTTAGTTCTTCCTTGAATGTTTGGTAAAACTCCCCTGTGAAGCCGTCTGGTCCTGGGCTTTTGTTTGCTGGAAGCTTTTTGATGACTGCTTCAATTTCTTCCATAGTTATTGGCCTATTGAGATTTTTAGATTCTTCCTGATTGAGTGCTGGAATGTTGTATTTTTCTAGGAATTTGTCCATTTCCTCCAGGTTGTCTAGTTTGTTGGAGTAGAGTTGTTCATAGTATTTTTTAACAATCATTTGTATTTCTGTGGGGTCTGTTGTTATTTCGCCTCTATCATTTCTGATTTGGTTTATTTGGGTCCTCTCTCTTTGCTTTTTGGTGAGCCTGGCTAGAGGTTTGTCGATCTTGTTTATCCTTTCAAAGAACCAGCTCTTGGTTTCATTGATTTTCTGTATTGTTTTTTTGGTCTCTATGTCATTTATTTCTGCTCTAATCTTTATTATCTCCTTCCTTCTGCTCACTCTGGGGTTTTCTTGTTGCTCTCTTTCTAATTCTTTGAGCTGTAGATTTAGATGATTTACTACCATTTTTTCTTGTTTTTTGAGGTAGGCCTGTAGAGCTATAAACTTCCCTCTCAGGACTGCTTTCATTGTGTCCCATAGGTTTTGGATTGTTGTGTTTTCATTGTCATTAGTTTCCAGGATGTTTTTAATTTCTTCTTTGATGTCATTGGTAACCCAATCAATATTTAATAACATGCTATTCAGCTTCCAAGTGTTTGAGTATTTTGGGTTGTTTTTATTGTAGTTTATTTCTAACATTATGCCATCGTGGTCTGAGAAGATGCTTTTTATGATTTCAATCTTCTTGAATTTGGGGAGACTTTGCTTGTGACCCAATATGTGGACTATTTATATGAGGAGAAAACTCTATATAGTCTTATAGAACCACCAATAATCCCAGCAAATTACAGTAACAGATTCCTGGAGATGAATACAAACTACAAACAACCAATAATATCAAGCGACGCAAGGGAAAACAGAAGCACAGAAATAACCTGGGGGGGCGGGGGGACGCAGAAAAATAAAAAGAATAAGCAGAATAACCTCACAAACAATCCTAATATACTCGACAAAAAACCCAATATACTCGACAATCAAGCAAACAATAAAACAGTAGAGAGAGAAAAGAAGAAGAAGAAAAAAAAATTTGGATAAGGGAAAGGTGTATAAGGATTTAGAGCAGGAGAACAATAGTCCCAAAATAAAATAAAGAGAAAATAAAATGACACTTTAAAAAATGGTAAAATGGTAGCAGTAATAATACTAGTTAAAAATAAAAATGTAGTAATTGAAAGGGGAAAATCAGGTGATGGAAAAAAAAAGGAAAAAAAAGAAAAAAATGGTTTCTTAGTTAAAAGGTGAAAAAATAACTAAAAAAAATAAAAATAAAAATGTGCAGTAATGAAGGT